TCCTGGGTCTTTCCCATTTAGTTTCCCCGGAAAATATCACTTTCTTAACCCGGGGAGGAGAGTTACAGGGATGATGAGAGAATGTAGACATTTGCTCGCTCCATACACAGACGTTTAAGCAATTCTTAGATAGACCTCAGTGCCACTCGGGATGCTGACCTCCTTTCTCGGGTGTGCCTCTGGGTGGGCTTCTCAGCTGTAGCCCAGGCAGCCTGGTTAGCGGGCGACCACTGCCCAGCTGCTTGCACTGTTCTGTTATGACGTGCACATGTGCAGGGAGTCACAGGGAAGACCATAACCGTGTGTTTGCCGCCCAGCTGTATCAACCCTTAAATCACTTAAGCAACTCTCGCAAAATGATCAATAAAATACATTACACGTATGGCGGTGCCTCCCGTGCCTCCCTTCCCGGTCCCCTTTACTCTCCCCGGCAGTTACCAGCATCTGAATTGGCACGTATCACTGTCATCCTATGCTGTTGCTCAGATGTATATATCTGTGAACAGCATATTATATCGTCTTTCATATTTGTAAACCTTATCACAGTCATATACTTTACATAGTCCTAAACTGCTTTTTTTTTCATTCAACCTTATGCTTTTGAGACACATTCATATTGATTCACATAGCTCTTTTTCATTCGTTTTGGCTTCTACGTAGCGTTCAGTTGTACGACCTGAAAGTTGTTAGCCATTCTTCCGTCAGTGGACATTTTAGGCTGTTTCTAGTTTTTGACCTTTGCAACAGTGGTGCAGTGGATGTCCCTGGGCATTTCCCTTAGTGTGCACGAACCCACAGCTTCCGCAGTTCCCCAGGATCCCGGTCCTTTCGGCCGCTGGGCAGCACCTGGGACCTGCCATCAGCAAGGGGCCCAGGCCAGCCTCCTTCGCAGTGAACAGTTTCCCCTGTACCCGTGTTGTAGAAGGAAGAACGGGCATTGTTTCTACGTGGAGTTGCTGAATTAAGGAGGGGCGCAGCTTCGAATTGAGTAGATACTGCCACATTGCTCTCCAAAGTTGTGCCAGATTGCACTCGGTACCCACGCAGACTTCTTTTCACCAAACAGCCGACTGGACCGATGGGTGGAAGGTGGGCTGTAGTGTTAGATTTGCGTGACTTTGACCCGACTCCACCCACGAGCTGTGTGATCTTGGGCAGGTTTCTTACACTCTACATATGCCTCAGTTTCTTCATGCATATGTCAAAAGGGGCAGTAATTACCCACAGCATGTTATATTTTGAGAATTAAATCACTTCATACATGTGAATAACTTTGAACACTTAACCTCATAACAGGCCATTTCAAAAACAATGTTCGCTATTATTATTGGTTAAAAGTTGATTTTTGCCGGTCAGATGGGTAATAAGTGGAGTTTAATGTGGTTTTAATGTGCATTCCTGTATTATTAGTGAGACTGAGCATCTTTTTGTATGTTTATTGGTGCTTTAAACTTCCTTTTTTATTCTATTAGTTTATTTTTTTTTCTTGTGAACTCTAGTTCTCTGCATATTCTGTAACTATTCTGAATACTAATTTTCTTTGTCAGTTATATGCAATGCAGAAAATTTTTCCCAAGCCTGGAGCATTATTTTTAACTTAATTTGTGGTATTTATTGAATCATAGAAGTCTTTAATGTAGTATATACACTGTTCTTTTAACATATTGTACATTTTATTTATGAAATTATTCCTTACACCAATGTCACAAAGACAGTCTCTCTCTTTTTTTTCTTTTGTTCAGATAGAGTGGGAGGGGGAGAGAGGAAGAGCGAGAGAGGGAAACATCAATGTGAAAGGGACACATCAGTGGCTGCCACCCGCACGACCAACCAGGGCTGGGGACAAACTGCAACCGAGGTACATGCCCCTAGCGGGAACCGAACCCGGGTCTCTCCAGACCGCAGGCAGTCGCTCCAACCGCTGAGCCAAACTGGCCAGGGCGCAAAGACAGTCTCTTATAAAACTTTTCAAATATTGCTTTTTATACTTGGGGTTACCTGGAATTGATTTTGGCATATGATTTTGGCCGTTTTATTTCTCTCCGTATGAGCAAGAGTTTTCCTGAGGGGCGGTCAGCACCCTCTGTTTCTGTAGAGGGCCAGAGTGACTGTGTCAGGTTGCGTGCCTGTCACAACGGCACATTCCGTCGCTGTCGCGCCAGCGCAGCTTCCTCAACCTCTGAGTCGGCGCCTCCTAGTGAACACCAGGAAATAGTAGCTCCTGTTTCATGATTATCTTGTGAGGATTAAATAGCAGAGCAAATAGGGAGTAAGTAAGCAAATGGGTAGACTTGTGTTCCAATAACGTTTGTTCATAAAAACAGGCAGCAGGTGGACTTTGGCCCAGGGGCTCTCGCTTGCCAACCCCGGCTCTGTGCCAACCCCGCGTTCAATGCAGATGTTGTATAAGGAATTAGTAAACTACGTATATCACATATGTACGGTATATAATATATAGTTTTTTTTTTTTTTTAATCCTCACCCGAGGACATTTTTCCATTTTTTGTACAGATAGAGTGGGAGGGAGAGAGAGGAAGAGAGAGAGAGAGAGAAACATCGACGTGAAAGGGACACATCGAGTGGTTGCCACCCGCACGACCAACCAGGGCCGGGGACAAACTGCAACCGAGGTACGTGCCCTTAGCGGGAACCGAACCCGGGTCTCTCTAGACCGTAGGCCGGCGCTCTAACCGCTGAGCCAAACCGGCCAGAACTAGATTTATATATATTACTAATATACAAACACAGAATATTATAATACACGTATGTTTATTTGTTGCCAATCTTGTAGAAATTGGCTGGCCTCATTCTCTTTGAAACTGTTGTTTCCTCCTCACGCATGACTCACTCAATCAGCAGATTTCTGTATTGAATCTCCATACACTCCATTAATACAGAGCTTACTCCATAACTCGTTCCATTTTTACATAGCCCAAATTGTGTTTTGTTCCTAAAGTTCTGTCTTTCGGTGACTTTTGTCCTTTACCCTCCAACCCCCCCCTTTGACGCTGCGTGTCAGGGTGAACTAGTCCCCCTGAACAGTCCTCCTCTCCCGCCCTTCCTGCCGGGTTGTGTTCGGGGCCTGACATTGTCTCCAGCTCGTTGTCATGCCTTCCATCAGAGGCTGAGTGTCTACTCTGTAAGCTCGTCGCTCGTTAGACTCTGAAGACGCAGCTCCTCACACACGGCCCGGCTGTGGCCCGAGCCGCCCAGGGCCCGCTGGCCGCCTCCCGGGCCGTACGCTGTGCGCTTGTCCGTGTGACCGCAGCGTGCCGCCTGTCACCGTCGTCACCCCGCACTGAGGCTCTCATTAGCTGTCTCGGAGTGAGCGTGGCAGATCGGGCCCTTCGGGGTTTGTTTCCTTCAGATGAGGGAATTGAGGCTCAGAAGAGTAAGAAGTTTGCCCAAAGCCATGTAGCTGACCAGGGGCAGAACTGGAAATCAGATCCAGCTTTTCCAGCTCCAAGTCCAGGATTCTTCCTGATACCCCGTGCTTCCTCCACATGCAGAGGAGATTGTCCTGACGAAACCTTGTGATCCCAAAGCAGTCTTTGTCAGCAAAACACTAAGGAAGAATCAACTTCGTGTGGAAAGAGAAAAAAAAAAAAGGACGTGAAATGCAACCTCTTTTTCTGATAGATGCCCAAAGACATCCAAAGTCCACTCCTCTGGAGTCGGTGGTGTCCCTCTGTGCGGACAAGACGCTCGCCTTCCTGCACCCAAAGCGTCAGAACCAGGCAGACGCCTCCCCTCCACGGCCCACTTGTCAGAACAGTGAGAGGAAGTGGACCTTGGTGCCCTCTGGGCCTCGAGGGGGCCCCTCCCGCACACGCCCAGTGTGCCCAGGGTCTGAGAAGCCACAAATAGTAACAGCAGCGACACTGTTAAAATCTGCTGATACCACACAGTATTGGTAATTTGTGTACCAGGCACTAAATTATTTTGTCTATTTAATCCTTACAACATGTTCACACGGTGGGGACTGTTATTATCTCTAATGTCGTTCAGAGAAATAGAGTCAGAGAAGTGACGTGACTTGTCTGCAGGCAGCTAGTAATTGATAAAGAAGTGCTCCTCATCACCACCCACACTTGCCAGCTTGTCCAGGCCGGTGAGCAGTAACCTCTGTAACCCCAAATCCCTCGAGCCCTTCAGGAGTTTGAAAATTACAGAATCCCCCTGCTCTAAATGGATTTAAAAAACCCATTTATCTGATTCCCAGACTCAAAGCATCACAAAAGTCTGTATATAGGGGCGGGCAAAAGTAGGTTTATGGTTTTAATACAAATAAATAATACATTAATTAATAAATAATAATACAAGAGTAAACTGTTTTGCGTACTCACAACCAAAAGCCTACATTTGCCAACCCCTGTATTCCTGATATCCTAGAAAATACACATATTACCTTCGTATTTGAATAGTCCTTTAAAATATTTTGGCTCTTCGTCTCTATCCACACCTATATAGACAGGTCGCTCCTCAGTGCACCTGCCTTCTGTCTATTGTTCTCCCCATTGCTCTGAAATTTTCCTCTGCCAGCGACCAGTGGCCTTATAATTAGTAAATAAATGGTCAGTTCTCCAACTTTATTTCAATTGATATACTTGCATATCGAACGTTCGATGATTTCCTCATTTTACTTTTTATATCCTTCATGTATCTTGTTCCTTCCTCACAGGATTCTCATGCAGAGAAGCTGAACTGTAACAGTAGTTTGGCAGTTGTGCGGTACTGTTACCTAGAAGGATGGCTGTGGTTACTGGGAGGCTAGAAGAAAATGAGGAGACGTGTATGAAATGTTGAAGAAGAATTTTATTGCAGCAACACATGAAATTTTTTTCTTGTGAAAAAATTTCCTGTTAACAAAATGTTTCTTCTTTTCAAGCATGATTCTTAGACGCATACTGTTAACTTTCAGAAAGCGAGAGTGTAGATTTATGGCTGTGTCCACCAGGGACATCCGGGTGACGAGACTGATCTCTGACGTTCTCTCGCAGGTCTTCACCTTGCTGTGGATCGCTGACTGGATGGTCCGTCACTTCTGGAGGAAAGGGAAGGACCCGGACAGTTTCTCCATCCCCTACCTGACGGCACTGGGTGACCTGCTCGGGACAGCGTTGTTAGCCTTAAGTTTTCATTTTCTTTGGCTTATTGGAGATCGAGATGGAGATGTTGGAGACTAATAAACCCTACAAATTACTCCCAAGTCACCAAGAAGGAAAACACAAGATAACCACCAATGGCTCTTTTTCAGAAATCTTAAATTAGTAGTTTGACTTCTGTCAGGGTACTCTGAAGTTGGCCCTGATTCAGTTAAATGGCCTTAACATTTTTTAAAGGAATTTGTGTTGAAACCAGAATGAACAGTATTTATGCTAATTTCACATAGACATAGATACAAGCTCAAGCTCTGAAATTAATTAAATAGAAAAGAATATAGGATGTTTACAATGAATAAGTTTAAAACCACAAACATAGCAGAAATGTACTTGATTTTGTTTAATTTATAATGCCAGTTTAGAGGAGAGTTCTAGTTTAGTCTTTCTTGTCTCTCAGATGTCTCATACCTACCACATAGCATACCATAAAATGAAAGGGGCCCAACCAAGCCTTTGATAGTTTTTTTTTTAATCCTCACCCGAGGATATTTTTCCATTTATCTTTAGATAGAGTGGGAGGAAGGGAGGGAGGAAGGAATGGAGAGAGAGAGAGACAGCAATTTGTTGCCTCCCTCATGACCTCGACCAGGGCCAGGGCCTGAACCACAACCAAGGTGTGTGCCCTTGACCGGAATCAAACCCTTGACTCTTTCTTTGGTCTTGGGGCTGAGGCTCTAACCACTGAGCCAAACCGGCCAGGGCCCGTGTCTTTTTCTTTTACTATGCTTTGATAGTTTTAACTACACTGCTATCTGAGGGTAAATTTGCCAATTACTTGCTCCTAACCTGACCTAAATATGTTCTGCTGAGCATAAGATAAATTCACGTTGACCTGCTGCTATGAATTTCCCTGTGCCAATGCTAATTTAATTTAATCTCTGCAAGTGTTTGGCAGGCTGCCCTTGAAACACAGAATGACCTTGAGAATCTTTGATGAAAGCAATGGGTCAGTTTTGATCATTGATTTGTTGAAAGAATGTTGATCTTTTTCAGAAGACTTAATAGTCAAGAACAGAAGATAATCCAAGCTGCATTTGTAGAGACGTGAGAGAAAGTGTGTGTGTGTGTGTGTGTGTGTGTGTGTGTGTGTGTGTGTTACAGAGACAAACAAGCTTTTGATGGAGAACTGAATCTTGGCTTGTTGATAGCAAAGCTCATAGTGCTGTTAGACTATTAGCATTATATATTCTTAAGCACATTTTATTGATATACTTTTGTCATTTGGTCCAAAAATTTTGTTACTGCCCAGAATTTGGTATTTCTTACCTATAATTGTTTCTTCTCATTAAAAACAACTGTATCATTTAATTTAACATAAGATTTAGAATGGGCAAGTGACTCATTTGTTCTTCTGAAGAAGTCTCGAGACTTCTAGGCTTCCCATTTTAAAAGAGAAGTTGGCGGCTTCAGTGGTTGCTCGTGCCTGTTCGTGTCAGCTGTCTGCACAGGCTCATTTCCAGGGGCTCTGTCATGCACACGGCTGTGTCTCAGACACTCCCCTAAAACTCTCATCGTGTGCTCAACACTTGACCAGCACCTTAGTTATACAATAGGTAAGCATTTTTCTATCACTTATAGTTTATTATTAAGACCATCAGATGTTTAATAATTTAATTGATAAGGGAAGAAAAAGGCACATGAACTTGGATCGTAATGGTTTAAGTTATGAGTTGGTGTTAATAGTATGTAAACAGTCGGTCATTTATACATATATTGGAGGAAGTGTTCCTATTAAGCTCTTTAAAATAAGGGGACTGTGGTTTAGAGTTATATATTTTTGCTTATTTTAAAACTTTAATTATTTCGTTCTTCTGCCTTATAATGAAGCTTCTGAGGCAGAGAACTGAATGAATTACAGAATTTCTCCTTTGGAGAGTTATGATGTCACATAGTGAACATGCTTATGAAAAAAAGAATGATTAAGTTAAGTTGATGAATATTTATCAGCAAAGATTATTTTATTTTTTAAAAAACCATAAATAATTTATTTGATTTTATTGTAAAGTATTTGTAAATTACTTGTTTACATTTGGACCGTATGATTAATAAGCATTTATATTTCCCAATGATTTCTATTTTGATTTTTTAACATAAAGTAGTGCATAAGAAACCACATTTTAAAAAAATTTATTTTAGCCCTGGCCAGTTTCGCTCAGCGGTTAGAGCGTCGGCCTGCGGTCCAGAGAGACCCGGGTTCGGTTCCCGCTACGGGCACGTACCTCGGTTGCAGTTTGTCTCCGGCCCTGATTGGTTGCGCAGGTGGCAGCCACTCGATGTGTCCCTTTCATGTTGATGTTTCTCTCTCTCTCTCTCTCTCCCTCTCACTCTGAACAAAAAATGGAAAAATGTCCTCAGATGAGGATAAAAAAAAATAATAACAATTTTAGAGAGAGGAAGGGAGAAGGGGAAAGAGAGAACCAGCAAAGTATTGATCAGTTGTCAGTTGCCTCCCCAAATGTGCCCTGACCTGACCCTGACCCAGACAGGGGATCAAATGGCAACCTGGGTATGTGCCCTGACCAGGAATTGAAGCCCCACCTTTTGGTGTATGGATGATACTCCAACCAACTGAGCCACACTGGCCAGGGCCAGCAAACCACATTTTTAAAGCATTTATTAACAACTGTAGTACATTACATAATCTAAAGCACATTCAAATACACTGTATTATTTAGTACTCACAACAGTACCTGTGAAATATGTCAGGTAGATATTTCTTTATATTATAGCAAAAGAAATGGAAACTCAGAGAAGTTACATTTTACAGGTTGCATGACTACAAAGTGACCAAATTGTGACTAAAGACCAGGTGTCCGATCTCCTGCACCAGAACTCTCTCTGTGACCCTCCAAATGCATTGCAAGTACCTGATCAGTTCACTGGGAGGGGAGCAGCTGGAGAGACAGGCTTGTTGAAAGTAGAACAGAGCATTGCTGCTGCTTTTACATGTTAGACAGGGAACCTCCCCTTACTGTCTCTCGATGCTACGTATAGCCAACTGGGAATTGTTTGTGTTCCTAAGACCCCGGAAAACACGGATAAATGAAAGTGTTAGAATAGAGAACAATGCCTTATTTCACGGAACGTTTTGTTGCCACCACCCTTCCCGATCCAGCCATTCTCCAAAGGTGTGGATACAGCACTAGGCTGACTGATGTGAGTTATGTCTCCTTTTCCAGTCTTAGTTACAGCAACAAAATGTCTTAACAGGCAAGTACTAGGGGGAGAAAAGTAAGACATGGAAAAAGCAGTCATCGATTAACCGCATTAATTTATAAGAGGGATCTAGATGCCTCTAAAATTTTTTTCCAGTTTTTTGAGAACCTTTACATAAGTATGCAACTGATAAGATGGCTTCTTTTATTTGCCCACAAAAACCATTATTGTCCATCTTAATGTAAATTCACAGTTTTATTTTTGTACAATATAAAAACTGCTTTCCAAACTTCTTTCTTTTGCTAATCTACCAGATACTGTATTTACACACAGATAATTTTTAAAAAACATATTTTTCATTCTTGGCCACCAACCATTTATTTCTTTTAAAAATTGTTCTTTAGAACATGATGAAATGGGCACTTAGGGTAATGTATCTTCTGGAAGACATGAAAAATTCCCCATCATAAACTATCAGTGATGTAGCCAAATGAAGTACATTTGTACAAGTCTTTCAGTATTTGGGCTTTCTTGCTGTATAATATATCTATGGTAATATAGTCGACCCATTTATAATGGGCATCTTCCATCTTTGAACTGTTGTAAACTCAAATAAGAATAAAATTGAAGAAATAGTTACCCAGCCTTGTTGAATGTGCTTTTTGATAAACTAGGCCATCGAGCCTGTGTGGAACTCACCCCCAAAGAGACCGGGGTGATCTCTGTATATATGTTGTATTTATTGTATTTGTGTTGTATAATACATTGGCTTTGACCATACCTAGACCTCCGATCCATTGCTTACCACTTTGTCACTGTTTTCGGCAGTCTTCTCGTTTTTCAGCTTAGGTCCCTGGGCCCGTCCATCCATAGGTGCTCACCTGCCACCTTCGTGCCTACGGGCAGCCCAGGCGCGCCCCGCTCCGCCTGCACTCGGGCAGCTGCACGCGTCTGGTTTCGCCTCTCAGACGGGTCAACCGGACGTTTATAACCTCAGACATCAAGTTCACCCTAACTGTCTAGCAGCCTACTAGAGAAATAGTCTAATCACTTCGCCGTCTGGGAGGTGAGGCTTTTGTCCCCCCACCCACTGAAAGCGCTCCCGTCAAGGTGGCCAGCGCTCCGAATCCAGGGCTCAGTTCTTAGAATTCTCATCTCCTGCTCTCAGAGTGTCTGATGGTCTCCTTCCTCCCTCAAATGCTTGCTGCATTTGGCTTCCCAAGTCCGCCTTATGCTTGATTCTCTCCTTCTCTGTCTTCCCGGTGGTTCCTCCTCACTCTCTAAATGTTGTAAATGTTCCTCCTCTCTGCCTCTTCTCCCTCAGTGCCCTAACCCACCTCGTTGTTTCCAGTGTTCCCAAACTTACTTCTGCAGTTCAGGCCTCTCACCTGCCTTCCAGATTCCTCTTTCCAGGTGTCTGCCGGACACCTCCACGGGGGTGACTACGAGGCATCCCCCACGTGTGAACAGTGCCATCGACTGCTTGGACCTCACTGACGCCTAAGACTGTTACATCCAACAACTGCAGGATACACATTCAGGGCTAATCTCCTTAACGTGTAAAGAACGAATATAAATCAGGAAGAAAAAGGCCAACAACAAAATAATAAAATAGCCAAAGACAGATGGTTCATTAAAAAAAAAAAAAAAAAAGATGCTCAGTATTACTCAAACGGAAAGGAATGTTAATTAAAATCATACTGAGATACCATTTCTCACTATCAAATTGGCAAAAAATCAAACTCGGATAAAACATTCTCTTGGCAAGGCTGTAGGGAATCAGACACAAGTGCTGGTGGTAAATGATGAATTTTCCATGATGAAAGCTCTGTACAGGGGAGTCTGCCCTTGTCTTCCAAAATTAGAAGAGCACTTATCATTCAATCCTGTCGTCCTACTAGTACCCCCGTTAGGGAAGCCTGTGCCCTGGCCCTCTGCCAGAGGGAGGCTTGGGATCCAGCCAGCGAGCCACGTCCAGTTCACTGCCTGCGTCTGTAAATAAAGTTTTATTGAATGCAGCTATGCCCATTGGGCTACATTTGCCTTTGGCTGCTTTCCGTGGACAGTGGCAGAAC